AACTGTGGGGAAAAAACCTCCTTGAAAAAAGTTGTGCAGTAGATTTCTGCAGTGAAGCTACTGCTATTGTTGGTTTGTTAGCTGCCATTCCTTTAATTTTGGTACTGAATTAACAAGTCTGAGCCCTGCTGATGAACGAACCTCTAGGATTAAAAATAAGGAGGAGGATTAATACACAGCTGTACTAATGCTCCAGGCAGAATAACCATTAACACAGGAGACAGGAGAAGGGAAAAACAAGAAGTGTACAGTATGAAAACAAATTTGTTTTGGAAAATAAAGCAATAAGTAAGGATGCCAACTTGCATACAGTATGTAAGTGTGTGTTTTTAGTATCTAAATCATCCCATTTGGCCTTTCACCTAAATGTCCCTTTTTCATTTCTATTAGGTAGGAGGCTAAAATAAATCTGCTGTTACTGAATATCTGTATAGAGCTGAAGCCAAATAAATGTTTTTAAAGTTATCTGTAGCAGATACTCAGTGCCTCAATAGTCATCTGTGATTAGGATGAATTAGTTTGCCTGGCACTATACAAGTCTCCCCTAAAGCCTTAAAGCCAATTGATATGGTCTTCAGACCTATTAGTGAAATAATTTCAGTGAGAGATTTAGTCAAGCTTACAGAAAAGCAACTTACCTGCCTGCCAGTCCTTTAAACCCTAATGGGGTTATTGTGAAGCCTGTGTGATCCCTGCTGCTGGGAAGAAAGCAGTTAGACGTCATCCTTTAGTTCACAGGCTCAAGACCTAATTACTAGACGTTATGGTGCGACTCCTGACAAAACCATTGGAGAAGCATGAGGGTGACTTTTTGCCTACTGTATGTTCATTAAGTAGTGGTTAGCGTTCTGGAACTGGAAGGCTGTGAGTTCAAATCCCAGGTGAAACGATACCGTTGTTGCTTTGAGCAAGGTACTTCATCTGAATTATTCTTGTAAAACACCCAGCTGTATAAGTGGGTGCAATTGGATAAAAGTATCCGCTCAATAAATGAGATGTTGTTAAGAGAGACATTGCAAAAGCTTTGAAAGGGATAGTGTACTTACTGTATGTTTTATTTTTGACTCACTTTTCAGAAACATTTGAAACTCACCTGATTAGACATCTCATCAGCCCAGGATGGTTCCCTGAAATAACATTTCATCCCTTCCAGTTTTATCTCCATAATCATTTTTGGAGAAGAGCAAGTTATCAAAGGACAATTCTCCTGCATTGTCATGGAGAAGAATAGTCTTGTCTTCATCAAACACGATCTAATCTATTAGAGCATAATTCAACAACAAATAAGAACAACTGGTGGGCGATTTCTGCTGTTTGTGTGATAGATCAGAAAGTGCATCTACTGTAAGAGCATATAAAAATGTAATTTAAAACCATGTTCCACTAGTATATTTTGACCAGCCCACAACATTACAAGCCAGCCAGACGGGGATGATGTAGGGTGTTGTGCCAAAGACCTTTGATAGGTAATCTGTTAGACACATACACAGCTCAGTTGTCAGTCTGACCTGCAGTTTAGTTTTATCTCGATAGCCTCAACTGGACTGGCACTGATAGCCAGAGCTGCTGATAAGGTTAGTCTGTTCAGCGCTGATAAACTCAGAGAGCATTGCTGACAACTTTGAGAGCGATCACTCAGAATGACTGACATCTTTAATCCGTCTTCGTAGCCACTAGAGGGTAAAAATAACCCCGTGGGTCAGATTAATACATTGACCTGCATAGCGATTTAGAAAAAAAAACGCCAGTGGATTGGGAGTGTTGATTAATTATCCCAGTGATAATCTGATAGAGATGTAAGAGAGTTAATTGCCCCTTCCAGTGAGCTTCAGGCATAGTGTGAGTACAAGTGACTGGCACAGATAAGCTCTGTTGGTGAGGAACAAATGGAAGCAGATCTAGCTTTCAGTTTTCAAACAGTAATACAGAACCCAAAAAGCAAATGGCCCATAACAACTTTTCATCCTTGGATTAAATGCAAGGTTCAAGGTGCATCTCTCTTACTTTCAGAATTTGAGTGTAAAGTGGTACTGTACGTAACCAGCACTGCTGGTATCTCATTCTGCTCTTGTTGTTTAAATGCACAACGTTGAACAGATACTGTACCTCGCATTTTCTGCTTTTACCCATGTCTGATAACAGAGAACAGATGCTGCTATACTCTTGTGTTAATACTGATTCATTAGTTCTGAAGTAGAAATGCCCATTTCAGTCATTGCTGTTGATTTAAACCTTATGTACTGTAGGTGACAGATAATGAACACTGGTTTAATACAGTAGGTTACACATTTTTGTGTATTAGAAATGTTTGCTTACTGTATATTTGGCTTAATGTCAAACAGTTTATTTCTCTAGTATGATTTATTCTCATAAATCTTTCTCTGTGCATGTATCACGTACTGAAAATAAGAAATATTTTAGTCACTTTCTTGATGTTTTCCTGTGAAGATTTCATTTGATGTTAACAATTAATTTCATGTTATGAGGAAATTTCGAGTGTTTAATTTCCCCCAAATGGGGTCCTTGTCATTGGTTATGCCGGTGAAGTGCACACCATCTGCATGATGTAACCACTTCGGGAGAAGATTTAACTCTGTTGTGTTCAGGTCATCGTGGTGACAGTACTATCACACAGTGCCAGAGTTCCTGTTGATGTGGAGTTTTTAAGCTCCTCATGGGTACAATTGCATTTTCACTGGTGCTGTGTCTGTGGTTTTCCACTGTAACCAGTGTTGGTTAATACAGTATGACTAAAACCATCAAATAAATAAGGCAGGTGAAATAGCCCACCCTCATTTGTACCCATTCTGATAGTGAAAGCTCTCCTGAAGATAAATCCTAAGTTTACATACTTGACAAAGAGCTTCAGTTAATAAATTCTTGATATATTTATAGCAAAGCACTCTGTCTTGCATCTTTCTGTGCATTTTTGTTGTGATTCTCACATGTTAATAGATTGTATTAACTGTAACAAGCTGTGAATCAGTAAATATTCAAACAGTGGAATTGTTGTTTGTAATTCATGGTTGTGAAGCTCTAGAAAGATTTTGGAAAACATTTTCATATCAAATAATAACTTAAACTGCCTTTATGATAAAACCTAAACGTCTTCATGGAGCTGTTTGCAGACTAATAATGCACTGGACTGTCACATTATTCCTAGAGATACTTGAAGATTTGGGGGACTTGTCTTATTACAGCAGTAAAAATGAATTAAATAATGTTTAATGAGCAGCCCAGTTTAAAAAAGGTTTTGTATTAAAAAGTTTGATATTTTGATATTGTCTTTTTTTCACTGATAAAACATATATTAAGGGCGCTAAGAAACTTTCTTAGTGCGGCTTCAGGAACATGTAAGTGAATATACATACTGTATTGATTTGAAAATACTCATTAAAAGAAACTTCACCAATATAGCAGTGCATGCATTTAGGATTCCCAGGAATATAATTTTTCTTTACTCACCTATTTAGATATAAATATAAACCACTGGCCATCAGTGCTTTCTGTGATAGGGATATATATATATACCTTTGGTAGATGACAACGTACTACTGTACTGTAGATTAGGATACTGTTTGGCATAATTTAAATTTGGTCTCCCGACCCAAGCCGTCAGATGGCGCATTTTAATTTTGTCCAAGCTTCAACCCTTTATTTCCTAAAGTGTCTTGCTGAACGTGTCCAAAGTGTGCTCTGCATGTTGAAAACGTTTCACAGATGTTTCTGTGTTCTAGGGTCAGCCTCCTCAATTCTCCTCATTTCCTCAAAATGCCTTAGCCCTATGCCATTCCTGAACCCCTCAGTCCAAGCCTCCAATTTATACTGTACAACTAAAATGTTGCTGAACCTGCCTCTAAATATTCTCCTTAGAAGGAGAAAGTGGACGCCTCAAAACATTCGTTCTCAAGTTCTTTTTAAAAAAGACTAATGACAGCTTATTTTCACAATCGTCTCTTCCTTTTTGTATTAAGTTTTAACTTATTTCCACTCTGTGTTTTAAGACATTATTAAAATAACATGAAAATGTGGAGTTTGAAATGTGTTTTTGTCCTATACCACATGACAGTTTTGATGGATGCCCTCTTTAGCTGGCAAATGCCAAGATATACCTACAGCCAAAAAAACAAAAAACAAATGCCTTTTTTCATGCATTTATATGTGGATTACTGCAGAAATGTATCAAACATGTCACATCGCATGTTGTAATCTTTCACTTTCTTTGAAGTCAGTGCACATTAATGTTATGTTCTAGGACAGAAAGAAAATCTTTAATTGCAAGTGCTTTTGTATAAAAGCCGAATGAAAGTCAGCAAAGCCACTTGCATAATGATTCCTTGGGGTTTTTTTTAGCACTTTTTTCTGCGCCACTAACCCCAACACAAAATTAACAAAGGATGCTCTTTCACGAGCAGCGAGTGAGACTGCTGTTTTGCAAAGATTACTGCTGCAGAAAAAGAAATTTACTTGAGTAAAAGTACAAAAAATGATACACCTTTACACTGCCGTGATTTGTTAGTCCCACTCCCTGTACATACTGTGATTACCTAAATCTTGATTAATGTCAAGCATTAGTTACGCCTAAAAAGCTGTAACTTGTGAGTCTAAGTCAGAAAAGCTTAACATTCTTTTTTTGTTCTTCTAGCAGAGTCTATATATGGTATTTGAACATGGCATCTTTTCTGTCTTGCACATAGGGGAAGAACATTATAGATAGTTATCTGTAGCGTAAATACTGTCGGTAACAAAAAGATGGTGTGTTATTTAAAGTACCAGCTGTTTTTTAGTCAAAGTGAAACACTTTGTTTTTAGTACTACTATCGGTACTAGTTTGAGTTGCAAAGATTTCACGTTATTAAAATATGATACTGAATCAGCATTTAAGTCATTAAAATGTAGTCTATTAAAATCTGTCCTTTTTTTATACAGAAGTGAAAGCCTTCATGGTTTTTTAGCTCCAAACCACTAGCATGAGATCAAACATTCTCTTTTTCTTCTAGCTGGGGGAAGACACCTTTAACCGAGCCAAGCTGCTTAATATTGGCTACACAGAAGCACTGAAGGATGCAGAGTATGACTGTTTCATCTTCAGTGATGTGGATCTTATCCCTATGGATGACAGAAACCTCTACCACTGCTATGACCAGCCACGCCACTTTGCCATCGCCATGGATAAATTCGGATTCAGGTAACTGAAACATTCTTTTCTTTCAGCGGAATTCTTGTCCAATGCAAATCCAGGAAACTCTTTGCTAACTGGTGCTTGTCACCCGATACCGTGGTAGGTGTATTCTGAAAACAACTGGCTATTTCAGCTTTATGAAAAATATTCCGTTAAAGTGAAATCAAAACCTATAGTGGGGGAACTTTGCATACCGATACACACTATAAGATATGTTACACCTGTCTTTGAACTGTGCTAACTAACTGCTCACTTGTAGCCAGTAGCCATATTTGGAGTGTTTAATAGCCCAGAGGCATGTGAAATTATGGCGTAATCAAACAGAGGCTCATAAGGACTGAAGTGTAGTCATTTGGTGTGTTTTTTATGAGTATCAGTACTTTTTTTTTGCTATTTAATTGTTCGTGATTCTCTGAATTTGTTCTTTGCTATAAAACCCATTGTTCAAGTAATAAAGTGATGTGCCATAGTGAAAATTGTTCAGCAACTCCTTACCAGACTTGAAAAGGGATATTGCCTTTGTGTTAAATCCCATTCAATCAAATAAAGCAAGAGTTTATATGATCTTCCACTTTTTAAAGATATTTCAAAGTTAATTTGGAACCAATGAAGTAAGAGCTTGCGCACTGTGAGTTTAAATGTCCATTGCTGGAATAATACAATATTTTTCTGTCTTATCCCCTGACAAGTTTAAGATATTTTGAAGTCTACTTCAAGGTGTCTTATTTATTGTGTTACAGTGATTGCTTTTCAGGGTTATATGGACAGAAAGGATGAAAAACTCCTGACAACCTGTTATTTTATTTTTTTTTGCTCCTTTTACTCAGCTGAGGTTAATAACATTGTTTACTGTCTGGAGGTTTCTTTTGATGTTTGTATTTCAGGCATTATTTGTCCCCTAGCAAGGTAATTGGTTTACAGGGATGATCAAAACTCTGAAAGCTTTTCTTTGATCCTGACTCTTGTGCAGGTTTTGCCAGGAATGTTCTCTTTTTCAGGAGCCTGTCTCTAGAATTCTGTAGTACGTCCTGGGACGTTAAACTTACCATATTTTTTCAAATCCCTCATACTTGGATTTGCAAACCCCAATAACATTGTTTTTACACATGTCTATCTCTCCTCTTCTTGAATTGCGAGCTGTTCTGCTACACATGAGTTCTGCAGGCTGTGGAAGCTTTCTTTGCCAATACAAAACTGCTTCTTGTTTATTATTCGCTGTACAAAGGAGCAACAGCCAATTAACTGCACATCTGACATTATCCTGTAATGTATTCGGGTACAACATGTGGTGAAGAAGGGAGCAGAATTTTAAGAAGAACTCTAGAGTATGGACACAAATTGAGAAAAGAGTGACATAACAGATGGCGTCAAAATGCTTGCTCTCCAACCAGCTGAAAAGAAGTTAATGTACCCTAACATTAAAATAAGTAAACAGTCACTTTTGCCAAGTCGAAGTATTTTAGGGAAAGGGAGCAGACTAAAGCAACAGTTAGTACCTCTGCTTGTATGTATGGTAAGAACTAATAATAATAATAATCCTTACACAAACTGTATATAGCGCTTTTCTGGACACTCCACTCAAAGCACTTTCCAGTGGACTCCTCTCCACCACCACCGATCACCTACCTGGGTGACGCAGCAGCAGTCAAAGTGCGCCAGTACGCTCGTCACACAGCTATCAGTGGGGAATAGAATAAGATAATGAAACCAATTCATAGATGGGGATAATTAGGAGGCCATGACTTGTAAAGGTCAGGTCAATTGGTTGCCAATGGTGAGTAAAATTTCACAGTAAGGTACATATTGTTATAGTTAAATTGGCATATTACTGTATGTTGTAAGAACTATTACAGTATGTTAGTGAAAAGACAGCTTTACACTGGGATTATGTTGCAAGCTAATGTTTTTCCGTAACAGCTTTGGTGTTCCGTTTTTTTTGAGTTGGCAGCCGAACATGCAACACTTTTGCCTCAGAGCATCTTACTGTGCATCTTACAGTATATACAGTGTGCTCCTGTGGCCTGGAGGGAGCAATTAGCATAGCTAAGTAATTTTAGCTCAATGGAACAAACCCCCCCCCAAAAAAAATTGGAATTGTTTAGCATCTCTGCCCTAAACTAAGAAGTTTCTAAGAATTTCTGCTGTTTAGCCCATGCGTTCGGAGTGGAAGCTGGCTCTCTGTCAAGTGTTGTGTTTGGATTATTATTCATTTCTAACTTTAGGCTTCTTGGAAGTTAAATTTTAATGCCTGACAAATGGCTTTAAATCTTAAGAAAGGCAGTAGAAGAATTTAAAAAAACAATATTCAATATTTATAGTATTTATATAAGAATATCTGGGAGGAACTGCAAATGATCAGATTGATTTCTATTACAATTCTGTGCACATAATCCTATTAAACTGATTTGTTGGTAAAGTATCATAGTTACTGTAATTACAGTAGTTCATTCAGTATTGTGAATGGGACTGGGTATGAATTTATCATGTATGTTATATCCTGATTTTATGTATTTAAAAAGGAACTATTTTTCATGTCATACATGATTACATTATATCATGTATTTGAATAATTGAACTAATTGGATTCTGCTGTACACGTTGGCTTGTGTTTTTACTTTTTCATTTTCTGTATGTTGATCTTTTATTGGGTTAATCAAAATGTGTCTGTGTGAAGATGGATTAATTCCTTGATTGTTTGATTGAAAGAAAAAGTCTTCCTTTCTTGTGGAATTTTAGAAATTAAGAAATTAGCTAGACATTTGTATTGTCAATTGTATGTGTCCTAATTAGAGCTTAATAATGCCTACGGGTTGAAAGGTTCTAACTAAAATGTTTTGTAGTAAAGTGCACATCCACATAATGTTTTCTTTGATTTTTACAGGTCAGCACTTCACTAATTTTGGCTGGACATTCTTCTTTATTGATCCTTCATATGAGCCACACAAAAGGAGCGTACATGTAAAAAGCCTAACTATAAAAATGTGTCTTCTATATATATACACTGTATACTGCGCTAAAAAAGCAATCCCTGTTCTTTATGTTTGTCATGATGGTTAGGCACAATACTCTTAACAACAGTTAAATTCCGCAATACCATTATTAACAAATAAATGTTTTTCTGTATTCACATATTTGGTTTACCGGATCTGAAGAAAATAGAAAATAATTGATTAATTGTTGCATACACTGTAGAATCAAGATTTTGTAACAGGATGGATATGGATACATGAATGATCAAAGGGCATGTTGCATAAATTGTACTTCTGGGAGTTATGTCTTAAGCATCTTTGTGTTTGCTGCTGCCATTTAAAAATTCAGCTGCAGTTTCCTCTCATGTTCATCAAACGCCGGCCTGCACCTTTTGGCAGCTACCCGTAACTCCTTCTAGAAGTCCAAAAGCTCACTCCCTGAGCTTCTCCGAATCCGACGTCTCTTTTATTCAGATGCCTTCTTACTGCAGCGTACTGTATGAGGGGCCTGTGGAGGTTTTTAAGCCCTGGTTCTGTGCAGGAAAACAGCTTCAAAACCTTGTAGCTACTCTTTCTTATTTTATGCTCGACCTGCCCAAAAGCAAGGAATTGGAGCTCTCTGCAGTGTCGCCGGGCGCTGGGGGAAATGACAGGGGAAGAAAGGCATCAAACACTGAATCAGGCTTAATTCTGCCTTCTGGGGCTTTTCTGAGACTTCAGTTCGTTTGTGTCCACGCAGGACCGATGTTTCACTAAGGAGGCCTGACAAATTACACTGGCCCAGTTTTGCCTTATTCCAAAGAGAATTTCTTCTGTTTTGTAGAAGCCATTTGGTAATCTGCATATTTTGTAATGTACTTAGCGGTAAGTGATACACTGTTAGATGTTTCAAAAAACAAGGTGAAGATAGTATCCTTTTAAATTAAAAACTAAAAAAAAAAGCTTAAAAGCTTTAAATGGTTTTCAAATAGAAAAATAATCGGTTTATTGACTGGTATTTCAAGCTGATCATTAAGAGAAAAATGCACAGCATTGGGTCACAATTGTGCAAAGCTGGCTAAGTAATCCCTTTCTAGAAAGTTTAAAGACCTAATTAAATGTAGTGCTACTAAAAAGTATGAAATAACATTTGAGTGCTTTTGCTTGTAATGTTCTCTTCACACTCTGTGAAATGCAAATTGCTTAGAGGTAATAGAATTGCATAATATGGTCTCTTCAAAGAATCAAAACATAGTGGAATCCCCTCTGTAATGTCTAGCATGTACAAGTCTACCAGTTTGAGGAACAATATGCAGTTGAGCAATTAAGCGTGAACAGCCTTCAGCTAAACACTTTAAACAAATTGATTAATATTAATTGTCTAATGACTACAGTTACCACAAAAAAAACTGTATTGTAATTAGTGACTGAAGACAGTGAATACAATTATAATACAGTTTTTTTCTGGTAACAGGGAGAAAAAACAGTGTATTTTTAATCTTATATTTAGCCTAATAATGTATTGTCTTCAAAGCAATTTCGCCCTATAGTTTATTTCATCCTAGACCTTTTCTGGGTTGGAATGAGAAACAAGATCATTTTGCTTTGCAGCACAGCTTGCTCTTCCCTCTAGGTGGATGTTACTTATGATTGTAGCACCACTTTTCAAGGTACTTCATCCTGGAATAAACATGAACCCAGTCATCCAGTGTGAACTATTTAGCAATGTATTTTTATTGTATTTTAGAGCTCTTTTCCTGAGGTGTCAGTGCTTCCCCAGGTCAGCCTTGATACCACAGCAGAAGAGAGAGACTGCAAGTCATAAAGACATTATATCAACTCATTGTTTTGTTCATTTTCAGGCTACCTTACGCTGGTTATTTTGGGGGTGTGTCAGGGTTGAGCAGAAACCAGTTTCTGAAAATCAATGGCTTCCCCAATGAGTACTGGGGCTGGGGAGGAGAAGATGATGACATCTATAACAGGTGAGTTTCAAAGACATTCGCAGGCACTTGGAGAAGTGTGCAAATAGGGTCTTAGTCAAGAAGTTCCCTGTGGGAAACGTTTTAGAAACAAGTTGTTTCTCGCAATGAGAAGATTCGGTATCCACTGTCTGCAGTTAGCAGGGTCAGGGGGGAAAAAAAAAGAAATCTCTATAAATGAGAACAAATAAATTTAATTGAATGAAGAATGTGTTAGCTTTGCATTGCAAAGAGCTTAACACCTGCTGCTCAGAATTCCACTGCCAGACTTCAGACTTGAGAAGCTGGAGAAAAGCTGCCTTTAAAAAAAGAGAATTTATGTCAGGCTTCAGTAAGTTTCCATTGAAACATTTATCATATAATTTGATTTTAAAAAAGTATCAATCAGTCTCTGACAATTTGTGTAAATAAAGTTTTTGTTTTCATTGTTCTATCATTTTTCTCGAATTTGGGTCATGCATGGAAGAGATTGACTGCAGTCGCTTCAGACCTTCAGACCAGGCCTGCTTTTACAGTAAAGCTTCAATATAAAGATGTGTGACTTTGAGGCAATAGCAGTAATCAGAAGTTCACTTTGCAGTACTCCTCTTGAGTGTCTCTGGTAGTTCTGATAAAATTTGAAGCTCTTAAAGGGCATCTGCACTGTTACCTAACTACTGTATGACTGTTTTCCTTCTACTGCAAATTGGTGATTGATCTTACTCACAGAGGCAAAATAGCATAAAACCTTTTACAACAGGAGTAATAGGTTCAATCCATCAAAAAATGCAAAGATTTCCCAGAAGTTTTGCCAATATAAACCAAGAGTTATTGTTGCTTTGCTTTTGCCACAGAAATACCGAAATGCATTGTACCACAACAACTTACAATGCATTATAATAGAATTGTAGCAAAACAATATAATTCAACATTATACAGCTTATAATTATTACAGCTGTATATTTATTACAGCTACTTGTGAGTGTAAGATCAGAAGCTGTTTCTTACATGCTTTTCTCTCTCTGTTACTCCTTTTTTAAATAATCACTAGCGTGTGTAGAGGTTCTGAAAAATAAGTGAAGACCACAGATGACTCTTTTCATATAGAGTAACGTTCAGCTGACATAGAAAAAATCAAATTGAGTGTGTCTGCAGTTGTACGTGGAATAGTAATGTAGAAGACCTTCTTCTGAGAGTCCAACAGATCCTGGGTTAAAGCCTGCAAGGTGCCAAGGAGAGAACATTTTGTTACTTCATTAATGTGGTAAAGAAAAGGTTTGTCCTCAAAAGCTGTGTTTTAGAAATCATCAGTACTGCTTGGAAGGATGGCAGGAGGATAGGTACAGTAGGCACTTTCTTGCAGCTCTTCAGGATCCACACGTTCAAACTACTTTTATTTCTTTTATTTATGGACCATGTTTTTTTCATGACATTTATTATATTGCTTTTCTTCGTATTACTTTACAGTACATTATATTTTTGGCACCCTATGTATTCTAATAATTAGAAGAAGACTTTATTTATCTATACTCATTTGGACAGTGGTTAATATCAGCTTGCACAGAAATGACACAATTTGCCTTTACTGAGGTGAAAAGAAACCCTTTCCCTTATCGCTACTGAAATGTATGCCTTGTTGAAACCTACAAGACTCTTTGGAACCAAGAATTTGCCAGAAGAATTAGTATGCCTGAAAATTTCCTGCAACGCAACAACCCTGTCTTTTGTTGAAAATTCAGTATCTTAAGGGCAGTTTATCCTTGAAAGGGCTTAATTGAATGTGTAGCATTTTTTCTCTCTTCTTCTCTCTCTCTTTTTGACTCTTTGTACTTGAGGCTGCATAGAAGGTCTTCTTTGTACAAAATTATCAAGTGAATATACTCCTTCCATAAATAGCTGTGAAAGAAATAAGGGGGAGACTGGACATTGTACAATGTATAAAGATTTTTTCAAAGACAGACAAATATGGTCATACCTGCATATCTACAGTAAGTTAAAAGCGTTGTTCAGTAGATTGTCTTTCAGATCGAAAGCTGAAATCTAGTTAATCAGAAGAGAATTTTCCTATCAAGAGTGAAAGGAATCCGGACATGATTCTTTCATTTTTAAAGGCTTAAATCCAGTCTGTAGAAAATCCTCTCAGGTGATGTTTCCTGAAGGTGAACTGTCTTCCCTTACAAATAGTGCTAATAGTTTTAAGACAGCAGCAGGACAACACATTTGTTAATTGCGACATGGTGTTCAAATGACACGAATGTCTGTTTCTTGCACTGTAGCCTGTGAGAACCAATTGAGTTCACACAGCAGCAAGTGAAAAATAATCAAAAAGGGCTTGGCTGAGCTTTATTAGTTTCATCCTCAAGCTTTGCTGGTTTTTCTGTAACCTTAGTGGCCTGAGTGGCTTCAGACACTATCAGTATCCTGACCTTTATATCACACAGGCTGGGCTGTCATCTTACTGCCGACCTGCTTGATGACCCCCAGGGCTTAACCTGAAGCAAAGTAGTGTGTGTGTGAAATTCTTATTTTTGTCTCTTTTTTTGCTCTAAAGACAGCACTGAATTATTTCAAATCAGTGAAACAGTCCCCACCTTTAAGCCTTTTGTAGAAATCTGACTCTGGTTTACTTCTGACTTGGCTTGAGGACATTTTAAAGAGAAACCTGTTTTTGTATGTGACATCTCTGGAATAGCTTCAAAACGGTGATAAAATCATCAGAAGTACAGGAGCTACTAGGCCTCAAATGGAATGGTCACTCATACCGTATGTCCCCATCCATGGGAATAACATTGGATGAACATGGCTTGATTCTGACTATAACACTCTCTATAACACTGTTCCAATTCAAGGTTCTGTGGGAAATACATCTTATGGATGCCTCCTTCCGTGTTCTCCGGAAATGGCCATTTTCATCACAATTAAACTCATCTCAAACCTTCACTGGACTATGCTGTGACTCCATGCATCCCTTCATTTTGAAGCCATACGTTTCCACATATTTTGTACTGTATGAGGGGAACTCATTTGGGTCTCACAAAGATTTCCTCAGAATCACTGACCATTCCTGCATGCTTATGGAGCAGAGAGTATAGCGGATAGTATCTTGGTCGTCGTGTGCTTTGAACATGGATGCCCAACTACCGCTCCGGAGAACCGCTGTGTCTGCAGTTTTTTTGTTTTAGCTGAGCTCTCAAATGACCCCAGTTGAACTAATTATTGGCTTAACTAGAGCAGTTCAACAGCTTTTCTCAGCTCTCAAGGTGCTGTTGAGTGAAAGATCTATTGAGGTTGGACACCCTGGTTATAGCCAAAAACCTTCTAGAGAATCTTCCCATAGTATTGTAAAATAAACCATTTTATGTGCTTCCTTCTTGTTACTTTTGCTGGTAGGAGTACTAGGGAATAAATTACTCTCCCTTTATCAATACAGTTCATTTTGGTTTCACAGTCATTTGTTCTGTCAGTATTATGCACTGCAAGTCATTTCTGCTTCAAAGTGAAAAGGTCTCAGAATCTGATCTTCTGAGCACGGCTGTCTGGATCAGCACGATCAGCAGGAAGGAATTATTCAGTCTTACGTGACCAATTTACACTTCCCTCTTCACTAGACTCCAGTAGCAGCCATCTAGTTTAAAGTGCAGTAGACTTTAAAATTAAGTATTATTGGTTCTTCCAATTCATTATGTGCTTAATTCCTATTATTACACATGTCACCGAAGGGTTTAATGCAATTAGGTGTATCGGCAGCAGGAAAGTATTTTGTACTAAACTATTAAGCAAACTTAAAAGAAGAATACATTGGTTTGCAATATTATCACTGGTAAAGATTAGTTCAAATCTATTTTTATTTTCCTGGATGTTATTATAATATAGCACAGTATATTACTTTAGCAAATTATAATTCCGAACATGTAAAACTTAATTCCACACTGAAAAATAAGAAGGAGAAATGCAAACTTTTCACTGTTGAGTATTATTCACCTATTACAGTATATAATATATATCAACAATTATTAGTTATATTTATGCAGCACATTTACAGAACAATTCTTCGTGTATTGGAATTCTATTTGAAATGAATAAATGCTTTTGTATAAATGTAGAAAATGCTCTCTTTCATGTGAAAAAGGAGTTTCAGGCGATGCAAGGCCACAGCAGATCTGTCTTAATGACTTTTGCACATGTTTTCCCCAGAGAAACCCAGGAATACACATCTCCCAGCCAAGGGCAATATGAATCTGAAGTCACAGATTTGTTTTTCCTGAAGAAAACACATTTCTATTTCAATGCACATATTATAATAGAAAAGAATAAAAAACCTGAGCAGGCTTAGTGTTCTTGAGTTCCAAGGTCAAAACCAAACTCTCGCGGCGGGTTTATCACCTGGAGTTGCTGAGTTACTAAATGCAAGTTATTTGATGTGTGCTATTTTTGTGCAAAGATCTCCATACTTTGTTTTGCTCATCCAAGATTGTTTCCGGTGTCCTGCCCCATTTCATATTTTCATATGTAGTTTGTAGATCCACACGATGAACTCCAGAAGCCAAAGTACATGACATTTTGTTCCTGTTCAGTTTTAAAAAATGACCGAATCAAGCCCTGTGCCATAAATTCAGTGTTCAAAAATCTCCAGCAATCCTATAATCAAAGTTGTTTGTCCTTGGAATTTAATTTTGGTGAATTTGTAATAAACCTCCTAGAAACTCTTCTCTCCTATTAACAAATGTAAGTTCAATAATATATTTTCCTTTTTAGTTTAGTTAGATTGAGAGCAGGTTATCCTAGTTATCACTGTGGCATGAATTGTTGTTTTCCATGTGCTCCAGAACTCCTCTGACAAACAGATTATGAGACACCACCTGTCAAGATTTTAGTCCCCACTCCTTAAGGGTGCTCCAGCCCTTCACTTTAGACTTAATTCTGTGCACCTGATCCCTTTTCCCAGCCCACCTTAAAAGCCAGGCGCTGACGCTCATCCTGGCTCTGCATCTGGTTTCCACACCGTGCGAGTCCAGGACCTGGAA